AAAATGTTTTCTTACAGTTTTCTATACTCTGTATTCTTCTATTTGAGTATTTTCACTTTTTGTAAGGACAAAACAAAAAAAAATATTAAAAAAAAGATTCTTGGGGCACCTGGGTGGCTTAGTTGGTTAAGTGTCTGCCTTCAGCTCAGGTCATGATCGACAGGTGCTAGGATCTAGCCCCACATCAGGCTCCCTGCTCAGTGGGGAGTCTGCTTCTTTCTCTCTCTGCCCCTCCTCACCGCTCATTCTCTCTCTCTCTCTCTCTCTCTCAAATAAATAAATAAATAAATAAATAAAATCTTTAAAAAAAAGATTCTTTTTTTTTTTAAGTTTTTTTTTTTTTTGTACAGAGAGAGATAGCGAGAGAGGGAACACAAGCAGCGGGAGTGGGAGAGGAAGAAGCAGGCTTCCCTGTTGAGCAAGGAGCCCAATGTGGGGCTCAATCCCAGGACCCTGGGATCATGACCTGAGCCGAAGGCAGACGCTTAATGACTGAGCCATCCAGGTGCCCTTAAAAAAAAGATTCTTATTAAGCTCTTTCATACCTTTGTTCCTAGCCTTGCCACTTTCTGTATTAGGACCATGCATTTTACAGATTACCTGAAAAAACACTGATTTTTCCTTTTCACAGTCTCACATCTATAAAGCTGTATATGTACATGAAACTCTGCCCTATCTTGACCTTGCCCTTGTAATTTAGGATTCTGCACTTATGAGGCCGTGGGCAAGCTACTTAATCTCGTTGACTCTCAATTTCTTATCTTTTAAAATAGGGGGAAAAAAGCCAAATCAGAGACATAAATGACAATGTATGCAAATAACAAGACAGAGAACATTGATGAATTCCAGGTACTGTGCTAGGAACTTTATACACATTTATTCCTCTCAAAAATAGCTCTTTTGGGCGCCTGGGTGGCTCAGTTGGTTAAGCGACTGCCTTCGGCTCAGGTCATGATCCTGGAGTCCCGGGATCAAGTCCCGCATCGGGCTCCCTGCTCGGCGGGGAGTCTGCTTCTCCCTCTGACCCTCCCCCCTCTCATGTGCTCTCTCTCTCATTCTCTCTCTCTCCAATAAAAATAAATAAAATCTTAAAAAAAATAGCTCTTTTAAGAAAAATATGACTAGTTCATTACTAATGAGCAAAGGATATGAACATACAATTAATTTATTCCATTAACAAATATTTATTCAGCAGCTACTATGTTTTAGGCACCATGCTACAAGCAATACCAATGGTCAAGAAGTATGTGAACAAATGGTCATCTATCGTAATCATAGTCAAAGGAATGCAAGTGAAATCAAAAGTAACTTTTCCATTTTTCACCCATTGAATGGCCTACATTTAAAGTAAGTGTTTTCTGCAGGATTAGATGAATGTAGTGTTTTGGGATCTCTCTACTGTGTGGGCAGATGCATAGATGCATAATCTTCCTGAAGGCACTTGAGCAATGTGATTAAAACAGCTATCTAAAAATCACCAACCAGAGGGCGCCTGGGTGGCTCAGATGGTTAAGCGTCTGCCTTCAGCTCAGGTCATGATCTCAGGGTCCTGGGATCGAGTCCCGCATCGGGTTCCCTGCTCAGTGCAGAGCCTGCTTCTCCCTCTCCCTCTGCCACTCCCTCTGCTTGTGCTCTTCTGTCTATCTCTCTGTCAAATAAATAAATAAAATCTTTAAAAAAAATAAAATAAAAAAAAAATAAATAAAAATAAAAATCACCAACCAGAGAATGAAGCACTCCTCGTGATCTGTGGTCTCTATATACCATTTGGGACTGTACCAAAATACCAAAAAAAAACAAACCAAAAAACCCATGACTCCTTGGAAAATGGCTACTTCAAGGTGGGAGGTAGGAAATGAACAAGGAGAGCCTGGTACATCTTGTGGCAGACAGCAAGCAAGTGATCAAAGACTAAAGGGGTCATACCAAAGGACAAAGAAGCCAGCTGGAAGAGGCTCCACATCCCAAACATGGAACAATTTGAGCATCAATGAGAGTACAACCAAATTGTATTTAAATAAATATGCTACATACCCCTAAACTTGTAAGTTATCATGGCCGAATGCAAGGGAACCAACTCATTATTTTGAAAACCAATAAAGAGAAAGAAAGAAGCATTTATCTTGCCTTTCCTAACATGGGTAACCAAATGGTAGTTAAAGGGAAGTTTTTCTTCATAAAAATATTTTGGCTAATAAAGGAAGAAGAAATAGGGTATCATTTGTAATCCTTAATGGATTAACAGATCAATTGAACAATACTTGCGAACATCATAAAAAGACACCTCAAACAGAAACAAAAACAAAGACCTTCCTCAATCTGATCAAGCCTCTAGATACCAACTACCAATTTATAAGAAATACCAAGGATAGAGGAGCATGTTAAACAATGCCATGAGGGGGGTGCCTGCACAGCTCAGTCATTAAGCATCTGTCTTCGGCTCAGGTCATGATCCCGGGATCCTGGGATCGAGCCCCACATCGGGCTCTCCGCTCAGCGGGAAGCCTGCTTCTCCCTCTCCCACTCCCCCTGCTTGTGTTCCCTCTCTCACTGTGTCTCTCTCTGTCAAATAAATAAATAAAATCTTTACAAAACAAAACAAAACAAAAAAAACAATGCCATGAAGGCACCTGGGTGGCTCAGTCCGTTAAGCATCTGCCTGCGGCTCAGGTCATGATTCCAAGGTTGTGGGACCGAGTCCCACGTCAGGCTCTTTGTTCAGCGGGGAGCCTGCTTCTCCCCCTGCTTGTACTCTCTCTGTCAAATAAATAAATAAAATCTTTTTAAAAAAACCCAACCAGGGCGCCTGGGTGGCTCAGTCTTTAAGCGTCTGCCTTCGGCTCAGGTCATGATCCCAGGGTCCTGGGATCGAGCCCCGCATCGGGCATCCTGTTCCGCGGGAGGCCTGCTTCTCCCTCTCCCATTCCCCCTGCTTGTGTTCCCTCTCTCGCTGTGTCTCTCTCTGTCAAATAAATAAAATCTTAAAAAAAAAAAAAAATCCAACCAACCAACAAACAAAAACAATGCCATGGGATGCAGTCAGCAAAAACCAGGCTCTGAGAAACTCTACAAGGCAAACAATCTAGTTTCTTCAGAAAATAAATTACCAGGGAAAAAAAGGATGAGGAAGAATGGATAAACAGACTTCAGAGATGTGACAACTGCAATTTCTGGACATAATTTGGATCTCAATTAACTTAAAAAAAAAATCAACATTTATCAATTAGAAATTGGAACACTGACCATTAGATCTGGAATGACAGTATTGTTTTTTTTTAAAATGTTTGTTTGTTTTTTAAGCAGGCTCCATGCCCAGACAGAGCCCAAAACAGGCCCTGAACCCATGACCCCGAGATCAAGACCTGAGCTGCAATCAAGAATTGGACGCCTGGGCGCCTGGGTGGCTCAGATGGTTAAGCGTCTGCCTTCGGCTCAGGTCATGATCCCAGGGTCCTGGGATCGAGTCCCACATTGGGCTCCCTGCTCCTTGGGAGCCTGCTTCTCCCTCTGCCTCTCTCTCTGTCTCTCATGAATAAATAAATAAAATCTTAAAAAAAAAAAAAAAAAGAGTTGGACGCCTAACCGAATGAGCCACCCAGACACCCCGCCATTTTTTTTAAGGAGTGAAAATCTTTTCTCAAATTGTGATATATTTTAGAGATACATACTGAAATATTTATGGATGAAATTATGTAGCTGGGATTTACTTCCCACTGACATGAGGGTGGGGGAGAGGGTAGGAATACAGATAAAACAAGACTGGCCATTAGCTGATAATTACTGAAGCTGGTGATGGGGGCACTAGGGGTACATTATAAGATTCTGTGTGAACAGAAAGTTTCAAAACTGTATATACATTTTGATCTAGCATTTCCACTTTTAGGAATTTATCTTAAAGAGATATCACACATATACAAAATAATTTATGTGCAAGGATATTTATTATAGGATTGTTTGAAAGCAAAGGATAATGAAAAAAACTAAATCGACAGGATAAATAATGAAACACATATACTATGCAGCTGTTAAGAATAAGGCAACTATGTATGTATCGATATGACCCAATTTCAAGGTTTATGGATAAGCAAAAATAGCAAGTATAGAAATTTGTTACCATTTATGTAAAAAAATTATAAAGACTGTTATGTACATGTCTACACTTAGGAGGTAAACATAAAAATCAGGAAGTATATACAAGAACTTGATACAGTGATAGGTACATATCAGGGTGGGAAGGGTGTGGACATTGACTTATGTCTGTACACCAAATCAAAACTTTAAAATATTTATCCTGTGCATGTGTTTTAACTATTCAAAGTAACACTTATTAATGTCATAGCTTTGAGCCCCTCCAAATGTACATCCTAATCATGAAACCACTTAAAAATGACATACAGAATACTACTTTCTAACCCTGTGTAGGCAGTGACACATGTAGAAAATACAGGTGCCTTAGTGAACACTCAGGATGACTGAGAAGATGGATGGCTTCAGGACACAACAGGCCTGTTGGCCCTGACACTGCCTGGACTGAGGGGATGCTTCTTGAGATTCCCCAGATTCATTCACAAGCTCTGATCCAGGTATCACTGGGGTTGGATCAGGGCTCTTTGCCCTATCACTGTCATCTGGAGTGATATCAAAATTCTGAAAACATAATTAACCCACAATAGGTGAAATTCTAGATATTCCATTTAGAATGAGCTTCTTTTTTTTTAAGATTTTATTTATTTATTTGACAGAGAGAGAGAACAAGCAGGAGGAGCAACAGAGGGAGAGGGAGAAGCAGGCTCCCCACTGAGCAGGGAGCCTGATGCAGGGCTCGATCCCAGGACCCTGTGATTATGACCAAAGTCGAAAGCAGATGCTTAACTGACTGAGCCACCCAGGCGCCCCTGAGCTTCTAACTTTAAAGAGACTGGATTCAATTAGCAGGGATTTTATTTATATTTATTTTCACAAATGATAATCATCTACAGTTTCTTTCTTGGGAGCCATCCTTGTTGAATTTTTTTTTTCTTTTTTTTTTTCTTTTTGAATTTTTTTTTATTATAATTTTATTTAGCCTTAAAAATAAACTGGCAAGCTTCTCTCAGGGATTATCTATCTGTTCCTTGAAGTCTTAGTAGGTTAAACTATTTTTTTTGAAGGGGCAGACTGACTTTTTATGTCCTTCTACAATCATTGATTTATTCAGGTATTCCATATCTTTGTGAACTTTGATATTTTTGTAAAAATCTATTCAAATTTCCTAATACATTAAAATCATGCATAGTAGCTTTTTAAAAGGAATATTCACCCCTTCCTTATTCATAATGCTAAATATTTTCTTTTCTAGATCAGGGTTGTTAATTGTCCATCTTATATTGTTAAATAAATAACCTTCATATTAAGTCTACTGTTGTTTTCTATTTTATTATTTTTTGTTTTTAATGATCATTCTTACCGCTGATTAGGGTTTATTTCCCTCTAATGTTTAGAGTTGACCATTCATTCAATGTGCTTAGTATGTAACTGCCAACAAGTAGGTGCTGGAGATCTACATTTGGAAAACAAAGCCCCTACCTTCACTCCTTGGGTTGACAGGAACACAGCTTTGGCTATACTGAACTGGTTTTGATGTGCAGAACTTTTTGACTGCTTTTCAAGTTCTACCTGAAGGTGGCTTTAGATTTCCAAATGGGCAGATTTCTTTTGGCTACTCTTCTGTTAGCTTCTACTCTTGTGACTTTCTAGCTTTAAATATCATGACGACCGCATGATAATTACACTTGACTACTGTTTTCTAGAATGAATTATCATTAACAAGTGGTTATGAAAGCTTTTTAATACTTGACACATTCAGAAGGCCTCCTCTCACAAGAACTCCTTAACACTAATACCGTTACTAATTAACAACGGTAACTAATATTTATTGAATACAGGCTTTATATAAAATATCTGATAGGAAAACTCTATTGGGTAAGTATAATGATCACTGGGGCACCTGGGTGGCTCAGTCGTTAAGCATCTGCCTTTGGCTCAGGTCATGATCCCAGGGTCCTGGGATCGAGTCCCACATTGGGCTCCCTGCTCCGTGGGAAAATCTGCTCTCCCTCTCCCACTCCTGCTGCTTGTGTTCCTGCTCTCGCTATCTCTGTCTCTGTCAAATAAATAAATAAAATATTAAAAAAAAAGTATAATGATCACTGCTTAAAAACAAGTAAACTGAGGAACAGGAAGACTGCATTATTTGTCCAGTGCTATACAGTCGGTAACTGGTGGAGCTGAGATAATGTTAAGTAAGATGTATGTCATGGTAAAAGGCACATTCACAAAATATCTTAATATTAGGAATTCTCAGAAGTTTAACACATTTTGAATGGTAATAGAAAGGTTTTCTATATTCATATTAATATTTATTTCAGCCTAAGTTTTCTGATGCTTGGTAAGCAGTGAGTGTGAGGCAAAAAGAATTCCCACATTTATTGGATTTTCTTCTGCTATGAGTTATCCGATGTTCCGTAATGGAAGTGACAAGTGAAGGTTTTCACATTAATCACATTACATACACATTATCTAATATTGAGTCAGGTGTGAACTCCATGTAAAGGCTCCTACACCCCTAACATTCAAGGCTTTCTAACCAGTATGGATTCTGTAGTGTTCGATGAGCTGTGAGCCAAGAATAAAGGCCTGCCCACATTCTCTACATTCATAAGGTTTGATCCCAGGATGAATTCTCTGATGTTCAGTAAGTTGTGAACTACGAATAAAGGCCATTCCACATTCCCTACATTGATAGGGTTTCTCACAAGTATGAATTCGCTGATGATGGGTCAGTTGTGAAACACGAATAAAGGCTTTCCCACATTCCTTACATTCATAGGGTTTGTCACCTGTATGAATTCTCTGATGTTGAATAAGGTACGAACTACGACTAAACGCCTTCCCACAGTCCTTACATTCATAAGGTCTGTCACCAGTGTGAACTCTCTGATGTCGTGTAAGCTGTGCGTGTTGTCTAAAGGCCTTCCCACATTCCTTACATTCGTAGGGTTTCTCCCCAGAATGAATTCTTTGATGTCGAGTAACTTCTGAGCTATGAATAAAGCCCTTCCCACATTCCTTACACTCATAGGGTTTCTCACCAGTATGAATCCTCTGGTGGACAGTAAGCTGTGAATGCTGTCTAAAGGCTTTCCCACATTCTTTACATTGATAAGGTCTAGCACCTGTATGAATTCTCCGATGAACAGTAAGTTGTGAGCCACGAATAAAAGCCTTCCCACAGTCTTTACATACATAGGGTTTCTCACCTGTGTGAGTTCTTTGATGCAGAATAAGTTGTGAATGCTGTCTAAAGGTCTTTCCACATTCTTTACATTCATAGGGTTTGACACCAGTATGAAGTCTTTGATGTAGAATAAGTTCTGAAGTACGGCCAAAAGCCTTCCCACATTCCTTACAGTCATAAGGTTTCTCACCTGTATGAATTCTCTGATGTTGAACAAGGTGTGAGGCACGACTAAAGGCCTTCCCACATTCCTTACATTCAAAAGGTTTTTCACCAGTGTGAGTTTTCTGATGCTGAATAAGGTGTGAGCCACGGCTAAATGCTTTTCCACATTCATTACATTCAATCAGTTTTTCACCAATCTCATTGTTCTGATGTAAAGTGAGGGATGTACGATGCTCAAAAGTGGGCACGTTTTCATACATGACTTTTACTTGCTTGGAACAGCATTCCTGAGTTACTTGTTGTCTTTCAAATTGGCCTTTGTATTCCCAGCCATCTCTCAAACTAGAGCCATCAAAATCACAGCATTTAAGGCTTTCCATTATTTCCCAACCGAATGACTCTACTTCAGAAATATCTTTTTGTGGAAATTTCTCACACCTGGACTCCAGCTCTGAAAAAGGAAAAAAAAAAAAATACAAGCAGTTTTATTCTTTTAAGAGAAATAAAAAATTCTATAGCAGACCAGAGAGACAAAATGAAAATCACCTTAAAAAGTGAATGGCTTATGTAAGTCTCAAATATTGCTGTGCAATTTCTGAAGAGCACATGAAAGCACAAATATGATGAGAGCTCATATGGTGCCAGAAGGAAGCAAGAAAAGAAATTAAGCTGGGGTTTCTCAATTTTATAAAGATTAGAATCATCCAGGAAGCCTGTTAACAATTTATTATGAAGGTCTGAGACCACCCCAGACTGAATCAAAATCTATAGGAGTAGAGACAAGGCATATGTGTGCATATACTTGCCTATATGCATATATCTATATATATTTAAAAAGCAGGGGCGCCTGGGTGGCTCAGTTGGTTAAGCGACTGCCTTCGGCTCAGGTCATGATCCTGGAGTCCCTAGATCGAGTCCCACATCGGGCTCCCTGCTCGGCAGGGAGTCTGCTTCTCCCTCTGACCCTCCTCCCTCTCATGCTCTCTGTCTCTCATTCTCTCTCTCTCAAATAAATAAATAAAATCTTTAAAAAAAAAAAAGCATATATATATTAAAGATATGGTATGAGGCTTCTTTCTTTTTTTTTTTAAGATTTTTATTCATTTATTTGTCAGAGAGAGAGAGAAAGAGAGCACAAGCAGGGAAAGTGGCAGGCAGAGGGAGAAGCAGGCTCCCCGCTGAGCAAGGAGCCCGATGTGGGGCTCGATCCCAGGACCCTGGGATCATGACCTGAGCTGAAGGCAGACGCTTTACTGACTGAGCCACCCAGGCGTCCCTATATATATTTAAATTGAGGTAAGATTCACAGAACATAAGTCCCCCCATCTTAAAGAGTACAATTTAGTAGTTTGTGATACATTCTCAATGTCATGAAACTATTGCCACTATCTAGTTCCAGAACATTCTCATCACCCCAAATAGAAACCTTGTGCCCATTAAGGAGTCATTCATCATTTTCCATTCCCTCCAGCCCCCAGTAATCACTAATAGCAGAGAACCATTAATTCTGTCTCTATGAATTTTCCAGTTTCTGGGCACTTCATATAAATAAAGCATTTGTGTGTGTGTGTATGTGTGTGTGTTTTAAGATTTATGTTAGAGAAAGAGAGAGAGAGAGAAAGTGGGGGGGAGGGGCAGAGGGAAAGAATCTCAAAGTAGACTGCCCATTGAGTGTAGAGCCTGATGCGGGGCTGTATTTCATGACCCTGAGATCATGACCTGAGCCAAAAACCAAGAGTCGGATTGAGCTACCCTCATGCCCCAGCATCTGTGTTTTTAACAACATGATGCTGATGCCAATCAAAATGAAAATCCCTGCTTAAATTTTTCCATAGCCTTCTCATTGCATTTCCAAAGTCACTGGTAAAATTCCAATAAATTCCAAAGTCATTGCCATGGTTCACAGGCTCTTGGCAAAGCGAGTCCCTGCCTATCTTTGTTGTCATTCTCTTTCAACCAAGGATAATATATCGTCATATTGAACACTGTCTCATTTCCTCTCTAGGTACCATATCACAGGGCTTTCTAAAACAAATGTAGGTCTCAAAAAATTAAACATACAATTACCATCTGATCCAGCAATTCCATTCCTAGGTATATACCCCAAAGAAGTGAAAACAGGCACTCAAATACTTGTACACCACTGGTCACAGCAGCATTATTCACAATAGCCAAAAGGTGGAAAGAACCCAAGTGTCCATCAACAGGTGAATGGATAAACGGAATGTGGTATATACATACAATGGAATATTACTCAGCTTTTTTTCTTGAAATTCTGGTAAGTGCTATAACATGGATGAGCCTTGAAAACATTATGCTAAGTGAATTAAACCAGATACAAAAGGTCACATATTATATGACTCCACTTACATGAGGTACTTAGAATTGTCAAATTTATAGAGACAGGAAGTACAATAGAGGTAATCACGGGCTGCGAGAAAGGGAAAATGGAGAGTTATTGTTTAATGAATAGAGTTTCTATTTGGGATGATGAATAAATTCTGGAAATGGGTAGTGGTAATGGTTGCACAACACTGTGAATGTAATTAATGCCACTGGATTATATACTTTAAAAATGGCCAAATGGTAAGTTGTATGTGATATTTATTTAAAAAAAACAAACAACTAAAAACCTAATTAAAAGCTTCCCCAAGACCCCAAGAACCACAAGCACTTAGAAAATACACCAACTAAGGAAAGAAAAAGAAGAAAAAAAAAAAAAAGAAAGAAAGAAAACACACCAACTAAATATTCTGTATGGAATAAACAGTAATGGGCTTCCTAGCAACAGAATATAGAATTCCAGTGGAGTTATGCTATATACACTTTTAATTTATGCATATTTAATGATCTGTGTTCAAAAAACATATACATCCATGGGGTGCCTGGGTGGCTCAGTTAAATGTCTGACTCTTGATTTCGGCTCAGGTCATGATCTCAGGCTTGTGAGATCAAGCCCTGCCTTGGGCTCTGCAATGGACTTGGAGTCTGCTTAAGATTCTCTCTCTCTCCCTCTATCTCACCCCCCTCCCCCCCACTCATGCTCACACTCTCTCTTTCTTTCTCAAAACAAACAAAAAAACCATATACATCCACAGTGAAGGAAACAATCAACAGAACTAAAAGGCAACTTATGGAATGGGAGAAGATATTTGCAAATGACGTATCCAATAAAGGGTTAGTATCCAAAATCTATAAAGAACCAATAGAACTCAATACCAAATAATCCAGTTAAAAATGGGCAGAAGGGGCGCCTGGGTGGCTCAGATGGTTAAGCATCTGCCTTCGGCTCAGGTTATGATCCCAGGGTCCTGGGGTTGAGCCCCACATCGGGCTCCCTGCTCAGCAAGGAGCCTGCTTCTCCCTTGCACTCTGCTTGTGCTCTCTCGCTCTCTGTCAAATAAATAAATAAAATCTTTAAAAAAATATAAAAATAAAAATGGGCAGAAGACATGAAGACATTTCTCCAAAGAAGACATACAGATGGCCAACAGATACATGAAAAGATGCTCAGTATCACTTATCACCAGAGAAATGCAAATCAAAACTACAATGAGAAATCACCTCACATCTGTCAGAATGGCTAAATTAATAACACAAGAAACAACAAATATTAGCAAGGATGTGAAGGAAAAGGAACCCTTGTGCACTGTTGGTGGGAATACAAATTGGTGCAACCGTTGTGGAAAACAGTATGGAGGTTCCTCAAAAAATTAAAAATGGAACTACCCTATGATCCAGGAATTGCACTACTGCATATTTACCCCCAAAATACAAAAACACAAATTCAAAGGGATACATGTACTCCTACACTTATGGCAGCATTATTTACAACAGCCAAACTATGGAAGCACCCTAAATGTCCATTGATAGGTGAATGGATAAATAAGATATGGTATATACACATAATGGAATATTATCCAGCCATAAAAAAGAACAAAATCTTGGCATTTGCAAAAGCATGGATGGAGCTGGAGAGTATAATGCTAAGTGAAATAAGTCAGAGAGAGACAGATATCATATGGATGATCTCTATCTCACTCATATGTGGAAATTAAGGAAACAAATGAGCAAAAGGAAAAAAAAAGAGAGACAAACTAAGAAACAGACTCTTAATTACAGAAAACAAGTACCAGAGGGGAAGGTGGGTGGGGAGATGGCAGAAATAGGAAATGGGGATTAAAGAGTACACTTACCATGATGGGGGGAAAAATGGTTAAAAAAAAAGCCACCCTCCCAAAAAACCCCTAAAACAAACCCATATACAGAGTGGTAAGCAGAATGACTGCCCCCCAGGCCCCAGCCAAAATGTCCTAATTGCGGGAACTGTGAATATGCTCTATTACACAGCAAGGGGGAATTAAGGCTGGAGATGGAATTAAGGTTGCTACTCAGCTGACAGTGAGATGGGGATTACTGGGGTGGGCTCATTGTAATCACATGGGTCCTTATAAGTGAAAGAGGGAGGTAGGAGAGTCAGAATCAGAGAGGGAGATTTGAAGATGCTATCCTGCGGACTTTGAAGATGGAAGGGGGCTATCATCCAAGAAATGCAAGCTGGAAAAGGCAAAAAAAAAAAAAAAAAAAAAAAAATATATATATATATATATATATGGTTCTCCTTTTAAAGAAAGGATGCAGAGAGGAACACAGCCCTGTAGACACCTCAGTTTTAGCCCACTGAGATGCATTTTGGACTTCTAATCTCCAGAAGTCTAAGATAATAAATGTGTATTGTTGTAAGCCACCAAGTTTGTGGTGCTTTGTTACAGAAGCCACAGGAAACTAGTACACACAGAAAGAAAAACCTGAGTACTTTATTGATGTATCTATCACACCTGTTCAATCTTAACCTTGGAGTCTACTCTCCCATGGAAATGTAGGTTAGAGCCAAAGTACAAAGAAAAACCAGAAGGTTGGTTCCTGGTTTTTGAGCTTTGAAGTGCAGATGTCTTGGTGATTTAAAGCTGGTATAGGGGGCGCCGGGGTGGCTCAGTCGTTAAGCGTCTGCCTTCGGCTCAGGTCATGATCCCGGGGTCCTGGGATCGAGCCCCACATCGGGCTCCCTGCTCAGCGGGAAGCCTGCTTCTCCCTCTCCCACTCCCCCTGCTTGTGTTCCCTCTCTCACTGTGTCTTTCTCTGTCAAATAAATAAAATCTTAAAAAAAAAAAAAAAAAAGCTGGTATAGGTGCATGGCAAATACAATTTTGATTATATACACTTTTCTTAAACATGGGTTTTCAGTTATATCTCTAAATCAGGGGTTGGCAAACTTTTTCTTCTTTTTTTATGATTTTATTTTTTTTAATTTTAAGTAGGCTCCACACTCGACAAGGAGTTTGACTCACAACCCTGAATCAAGAGTTGCATGCTCTACTGACTGAGCCCACCAGGTGCCCCATTTTTTTTTTTTTTTAAGTAAGCTCTATATCCAACGTGAGGCTTGAACTCAAGGCCCTGAGATCAAGAGTCGAATGCTCTACCAACTGAGCCAGCCAAGGCACCCTGGCAAACTCTCTTTAAAGGGCCAGATGCGGGCGCCTGGGTGGCTCAGTTGGTTAAGCGACTGCCTTTGGCTCAGGTCATGATCCTGGAGTCCCGGGATCGAGTCCCACATCGGGCTCCCTGCTCGGCGGGGAGTCTGCTTCTCCCTCCGACCCTCCTCCCTCTCATGCTCTCTGTCTCTCATTCTCTCTCTCGCAAATAAATAAAATCTTTAAAAAAAAAAAAATAAATAAAAATAAAGGGCCAGATGGTAGGGATGCCTGAATGGCTCGGTTAGGCATCTGACTCTTGGTTTCGGCTCAGGTTGTGATCTCAGGGTCGTGAGATGGAGCCCTGCATCAGGCTCCACACTCAGCAGGATGTCTGATTGAGGATTTTCTCTCCCCCTCTCCTTCTGCCCCTCCCCCTGCTCATGCTCTCTCTCTCAAATAAATAAATAAAATCTTTTTTAAAAAAATCTTTAAAAAATAGAAGAATAGAATTCTTTCTGGGGAAGACAGCATTTCACTTAATTGGAGTTCAAGGCTAGTGTTCTCTAGCATCAAAATTGATGGTAAATGTTCATCTGTTGGTGCTGATCAGTAATGAGATTTTATATGTTTATTTAATCTTTTGGAATGTTTCATACAGATATAAATGCCAAACACCGATATCAATCCACAAACATATCATTTTAATTTTGTATATGCACCCCTTAGAAGGCATTTACGGAATTCAATAGGCTCACAGGCCATATAAGAACAGGCGGCAGGCTGGATTTGGCCCACAGACTATATAGTGTGCAGATGACTGGTTTATATCTTTATTGTTAGTGAGGATTAATTCCTAATTTATGAAATATTATAAGAACAATGATGGTATGAAAGAAGAATTCAGGATCATTAAAACAAAAACATTAGGGGCGCCTGGGTGGTTCAGTTGTTAAGCGTCTGCCCTTGGCTCAGGTCATGATCCCAGGGTCCTGGGATTGAGCCCCGCATCGGGCTCCCTGCTCTGCGGGAAGCCTGCTTCTCCCTCTCCCACTCCCTCTGCTTGTGTTCCCTCTCTCTCTGTGTCTCTATCAAATAAATAAATAAAATCTTAAAAACAAAAAAACAACATTAAAACAAAATCAGAGTGGGTTAACCAACTGAGCCACCCAGGCGCCCCAAATAAAGACATCTTCATGTGGTCAAAACCAGAATTTGTTGGGGCGCCTGGGTGGCTCAGTCGTTAAGCGTCTGCCTTTGGCTCAGGTCATGATCCCGGGGTCCTAGGATCGAGCCCCGCATTGGGCTCCCCGCTCGGCGGGAAGCCTGCTTCTCCCTCTCCCACTCCCCCTGCTTGTGTTCCCTCTCTCTCTGTGTCTCTCTCTGTCAAATAAATAAAATCTTTTGAAAAAATCTATTTAAGAATACTAAAATATAAAGCTTTTTCCTTTTTTCTTTAAATCTTTAAAAAAAACCTTAACATTTCCTTTTGTGTAGGTCTGCTCAACAAATTGTTTTTTTTTTAAAGATTTTATTTATTTATTTGACAGAGAGAGACACAGCGAGAGAGGGAACACAAGCAGGGGGAGTGGGAGAGGGAGAAGCAGGCTTCCCACGGAGCGGGGAACCCAATGCGAGGCTCAATCCTAGGACCCCAGGATCATGACCTGAGCCGAAGGCAGACGCTTAACTGACTGAGCCAACCAGGGCGCCCCAAGGGTGTTCTTTAGACAAAGGAAAAATAATCCCAGATGAAAGTAAATAATAATAATAATAACAGAGAAGTTGGGGGGGTATTCAAAGTATTCAAGGATTAAGTATTCAGTATTAAGTATTCAAAGATTCCAATATCGTCCAGCATGTGCTAATTAATAACACTTGATAATCTTTACTTAGTGGTCACTCCTACATGCCATTGTTCTGGGCAGTTTCATATGATTAATTCCTGTAACAATCACAATAATAACTACATAAGGAAGGCTCTGTTTTTAACTCATTTGCAGAGGATAAAACTGAAGCACTCTAGAGAATTTAAACAATTTACCTAAACTCACAGATCTAGTAATTGGCAGAGCCAAGATTTGAACTCAGTCTGATTCCCAAGTCAGTGCCCTTAGCCACTCTACGTGACTGTCTCTCTCAAACATTTAGAGAATAAATGAATTGCTGAATTGGGTAAAGTGAGCTGTTTTAAGAAATTAAGTATTTTTTGGGCGCCTGGGTGGCTCAGTTGGTTAAGCGACTGCCTTCAGCTCAGGTCATGATCCTGGAGTCCCGGGATCAAGTCCCACATCGGGCTCCCTGCTCAGCGGAGAGTCTGCTTCTCCCTCTGACCCTCCCCCCTCTCATGTGCTCTCTCTGTCTCATTCTCTCTCTCAAATAAATAAATAAAATCTTAAAAAAAAAAAAAGAAATTAAGTATTTTTTAAGGGATGAAGATACTTGCAGGAAAAAGGATCCAAAGTACAGGTAAAAAGGCAGCCACTGAGGAAGAAGGGAGCATGTCCTTTTTTGAAATGGGAGGAAACCAAGCAAGAAGAAAGAAGAGAGGGATTAATGGGGGTAAGGGCAAGGTTCCCTTGGGATCAGATGCTGACAAGATCTTTGCTCTTCATGTCTTCATGTCTCAGGCTGTTGTTCGGCAATTTTCGGTATGGCTTGGAGGGAAGCTTCTCAACAATAACTCAAGCTACTGCTATCAGTTGACTCACCCACTGGCTATTATTCCCAATGACCTCTCCCAGTGGACCACCCCTCACTCACCTGGACACCATGGTCCTGTCATATCATTTGTAATCATCCAGGGTTCTCTCCCTTGCTCCAATAAGGAAATGACATCAGGCTTAGAAATGGAAAGTCCTGTTTACAGGAAAAGAAATGGAGCATGATTGTCCTGTTCCAAAATTCAAACCCAGTCCCTTGGTCACCAAGGAAGAGAGACAATTATGAAGGAAGGAGTAAAGTTTGTCCAAAGGATAGGAAGACAGGGGTGCCCATGGAACTACCCATTTCCCCTTCCATAAAGCACAAACAATTCCCTTGGGAGCAGAGAGCAGAAATTCAGCCAGAAACTTGTAAGTCTCCCTAGAAATTCACCATGAAGATACCAGAAATTCCAGAAGGCTAGTCCTGAATTATTTAGAGTAGATAACTATGGTGGTCATTCTCCATTTGCCTTCTCCTCCCTGCTCAATCCATTCCTCCCTGTTCTTGGTCCTGCCCCAGAAAGCTTACCTGTAAGGACTGTATTATCCTGGCCCTATGGTTTCTCATTGGTTTGGCATTATGGAAAGCATCAGCAGGAGGCCACTGGGTAGGATGAGAGAGTTCAGAGTATTTATCCCTCTCCCTCCCTCCTCTGACCGGGGAGTTCTGGAAGTGGCTACAGTTGTTGCTGGGCCCTTCCCCATGACTCCAGCTCTCACCATGGTCCAGTGGCAGTTTTCCCTCTATACCAGAGGTGATAACAACCTTCCATTATTGTAGTCCCTGGGAGCCTTGTTGCCTGTCTGGCCCTGCATTACGCAACATCCTTACCTAGTGAGACCAAGTTACTGAAGTTCTCCAGAGTCACATCCCTGTATAAGTTTCTCTGGGCAGGTTCCAGGCACTTCCATTCTTCCTGAGAGAACTCTATGGCCACATCCCTGAATGTTACGAATCCCTGAAATAATAAACCCATGCATTACTAGTAAATGAAAGGACTTTTATTTTTTTCATTTATTGTAAAAATTTTCAAAACATTTCACAAAAGTATACAGAGTAGGATAATGACCCCCATGAACCCATCGCTCTGCTTCAACAATTAACATGACTTTGCAAATCTTGTTTTATTTTTCCCTTCTGTTTTTTTCACCCCTGGTGTATTTTGAGGCAGATCCTACACAGCAAATAACCAAACATCAATGTATTTTAACTATAAATACTTTAGCAGCTAACAGATCAGTCTTTTTTTTTTTAAAGCATACCAACCAGAATACCATTATCATACTTAATAAAATTAACAATAATTTCCTAATAACCAGATCAAGTTTCAAATTGCCCCAATCTTCTCAAAAGTGATTATTTTTTTACAGTTGGTCTGTTCAAATCAAGATTCAAATTAGATCTACATATTGCATTTAGAGGATAGGTTTCCTTAAGTCTCTAGAATCTATAAGAGCCCCCAGAAACCCTTCAAAAATTTTTATTGCTATTTATTTATTAAAGAAACATTTGAATCAGTAGAATCTCTCACATTGTTAGCTTATTGCATCTACATGGAATGGTTTAAGATGTTGCTTTACTTCCATACTTTGTGTGAAAAGGTAGTTAGATCTGTAGGCCTGATTCACATTTTCTTTGGAGGGGCAGGAATATACCAGAGGTGGTGCTATGTACTTCCTATCGCATCCATCAGGAGGCACATAATAACTGGTTGTACCATTTTAAATGAAGTTGAAATTGATGAGTAGGTTTAGGTTTTGACAATCTGACTCATCCAGGAAAACGTCTGAAAGATGGAAAGAGAGGAGATGGAGAAGGGCATTGTAAGAAGGAGGTGATCAAGCAAGCAAGCAAGCAAGCAAGCAAGCTAGGGTGGGATGACTATGCCATGAAGGTAGTATAATAAGTACATTTATTTGACTAGAAGCTTACATACTTTTGAATATTCCTGTAGCTAGAGCTAAAACCTCTTTCATACAGCAGGACTCTTCTATTTCCTAGAAGGGTCTGGGAATGAACAAAATCTAGCTAAGTGGGATCTTTTTTTTTTTAAAGATTTTATTTATTTATTTGACAGAGAGAGACACAGCGAAAGAACACAAGCAGGGGGAGTGGGAGAGGGAGAAGCAGGCTTCCCGCGGAGCAGGGAGCCCGATGTGGGGCTCGATGCTGGGATCATGACCTGAGCCGAAGGCAGACGCTTAACGACTGAGCCACCCAGGTGCCCCGCTAAGTGGGATCTTACAAATAAACAAAATAGCATATACAAAATACACAGCAAACAAGGGCCTTGCAAATAATAAAGTCTTTTAAAAATTTCTCCATGGAGATAATGAAAAAGATAGAATCCGAAATGTCTTATAAATCTCTAACTTAAAATATAGGACTAATAGAAGTTTTAAAACTATCCTATATTCACAATAAATGAAAAAAAACTATCCTAAAGACCCAGGTTCATAATTAGTTGGAGGATCTCAATCCGGGTTTTCCCTTCCCCTTCAGGCATTTGGGATTATGCAGGGGATGGTCTGGTTGTTACAATGTTGGGGGAGGTTGGCTGGGACTGGGGGCTGCGTGCTGTTGACTTTTAGCACCTTGCATCAGGAATGTTGTGTCCGCGTTTATCTGGGCCATGTACCCAGGACAGTCCCATACAATAAAGAACCGTACTGCTGAGAATGCCAACAGTGTCTCCACCGAGAAGCAGTTTGTTAGATATCATGAGCATATTTTTTGTGATGGCAAATTTTATAGTAAACACAGGGATTTTTATTTGCTGTATAATGATGCACCTTATGTCCTGGAAGATGTAATTATCCCCTTATTTGGGAGCATCTAACTTAAAATCTTTAATGTTTATTATGTACCTGTTAATTATCTATTATTCTTCACTGTCCACTTTTCCTTGTTCCTGAAATAAGAAAGCCGATGGAAGGTGTACCTCAGTCACATATATATGGCTCACAACTAACACATATTGGTCAACCTCAAAATGGACAATTTTATGGTTGTCTCTCATAAATTCCCTTGCAAGACCAAAGAACTTTCTGTAACCAAAGTTCCCAATCACAGTCCCCATCCTGAAGGCCTCCTAAAATAGAGATGTCACCACACACTGAGACCAAGACCAACCACTCCCGCTCTGACCATGTGTACACGGCAAGGGTGGGGAGGCTTCTACTGCAATCACCTAGCCTATAACACCTATTTAATGCTTCTCTGAGCTCTCGAGAAGGTAAGGAAAATTAAATCCCAGAGCTAACAACAATGATAAAAACAATACACACCACACACACATGCAACTGAACACAGAGATAAGCAAATATGTTAGCAGGGGCCACCCTGAAGTCAAACAGTTTGGGAATTAACCTTAGTATGGGGCCTAGGACACATACCAAATGGAGTGAGAGCCCATGACCCTCACTTTAAAGCTGGGATCCTAGAAGAGCTCTCTCTGTGAAATGGTAGGCTCCAATGAAAACCTTGTTGGAAAAAAGTAACAAGGAACCTTCTGCACTCCAGGTGAGAAAAAAAGGATTATCATTAATGATAACACTATTACTACTAATAATCATTTCCCTTGCCGATCTACAACCCAGGGCCTACTTTCAAGGAAGCCTGGAATTTAAAGTAACATTATTCATGCAGTTGGAGGAAACCCCATGTGAAAAATTAGTGTGCCAAGTTTGAGAACACTCATAGGTGCAAAACCTTTCTGAAGAAAGGCATCCTCTGCCCAGTTCCCTAAGGACTACCACATACTAAATTAAGTCAACTAAGACAATTCAAGAGGGAAAGATTAGTCTTTTTAACAGATAGCGCTGGGACAAGTAGATATTCACATGCAAAGAAAGAAGTTAGACCCCACCTCATACCATATATAAAAATTAACTCAAAATAGGTTGCAGAACTAAATGTAAGGTTGTAGAGCTAACACTACAACTCTTAGAAGAAAACATAGTATGACTTCATGACCTTGGTCAGGCAGTGGGTTCTTAGATATGTCATCAAACACAGTAACAAAAGGACAAACAGTTAAACTTAATCAAAACTAAAAACATTTGTGCTACAAATAATTCCATCAAGTAAGTAAAAATCCCAGGGCACCAGTTGGTTCAGCATCTGACTTTTGATTTAGGCTCAGGTCATGATCTCAGGGTTGTGAGATCAAGCCCCACTTCGGGCTCTGAGCTGGGTGGAGGAGCCTGCTTAAGATTCTCTCCCTCAGGATGCCTGAGTGGCTCAGTCAGTTAAGTGTTTGCCTTCGGCTCAAGTCATGATCCCAGGGTCCTGGGATCAAGTTCCGCATCAGGCTCCTTGCTACTCGGGGAGCCTGCTTTTCCCTCTGCCTGCAGCTCCCCCTGCTTGTACTTGCTCTCTGTCTCCATCTCTCTCTCTGACAAATAAATAAATAAAATCTTATAAAAAAAAAATTCTCTCCCTCTCCCTCTGCCCTGCTCCACCCCCTCCATTAAAGAAAGAAAGAAAGAAAGAAAGAAAAAGACAGAAAACATCCAGATCAAAAAACTGGGAGAAAATGCTTGCAAATCTTATATCTGATAAGGGACCTGTGTCCAGAATATATAAAGAACTCTTGCAATTCAACAAAAAAGACAAAACAAAAACTAAGCAAAGAATCTGAGTAGTGATTTCTCCAGAGAAGATCTACAAATGGCCAACAAGCATATGAAAAGATGTTCAATACCACTAATCATTAGGGAAATGCAAATCAAACCTATAAGAGGCCATCTCACATCCTTTAGGATGACTATTACCAAAAAACCAAAATAACACATGTTGGTGAGGATGTAGTGAAATCAGAACCCTCTTACATTGCTGGCATGAATGTAAAATGGGGCAGCTACTTTGGAAAACAGTTTTGACAGTTTCTCCAAACGTTAAACATAGAATTATGTAGGTACAGAGAAATGGAAACATATGTCCACCCCCAAACCCTGGTACACACCAGTGTTCACAGTAGTGTTATTTGTGATAGCCTAAAAGCAGAAATAACCCAAATGTCCATAAACTGATGAATTGAAGAATAAAATGTGGAATATACATATCCATGGAATATTATTTGGTATAAAAACAAATAAACTACTGATAAATGCTACAACATGGATGAAGCTTGAAAACATACTATGTCAAAAAAGCCAGACATGAAAGAGCAAATATTGTAAGATTCTATTCATATGAAATGTCCAGAATAGGCAAACCCACAGAGACAGACAGTAAATGAGTGGTTGCCAGTGGATAAGGAGGAGACATTGAGAGAGACTGTTAATGCAAATGGGATTTCTTTTTGGGGTAATGAAAATGTTCTAAAATGGATTGTGCTGGCGGTTGTAGAACTCTATAAATATACTAAAAACCACTGAACTTTACACTTACATGGGTGAACATCATATGTAAATTATATATACAATAAGGCTGTTAAAAAAATTTGAGGACCTCAAAGAACTGTTAATGCTGGGTATATCTATCAATAGTTACATTAGAAATTAAAAGTGAGAGATTTAAAAATACTAATTAATTTATTAAAATAACCAATAATAAACCTGTTACATGTTAAGTAATATACTTTTTAAGAAAAATAACTATTGTCAAAAAATTTAATAGCTTTGTTTTATATTTTTGCAATCTCTTCTATGACTGGCTGAATAAAAAGTTGGATTTTCACATCTACTTCTACATTCAATCTGTTGGGATAACACATATTATATAGCTTCTAGGAAACTACACTGTACACTCATTGGAGAATGTGACTGAAAAAGGCAAGTAACATTTTAGTATTAACTCCTGAAAGGATGTCAAAGTCTTCCTGGACCATGCTTTGAGAACTGCTAATCTAGTGCTACACAACTTAACATGAATGATTTGTAAACACATGTGTTGAATGAAAAAATCTGGTAAAAAATATAGAGTATGATAACTGTACAAAAATTTAAAAACAAAAAACTTGATAGTATATTGCTTAGTAGCATTCATTCATGGTAAAACTATTATAAAAAATCAAAGGACTGATTGACACAAAATTGAAAGCAGTGATTACCATTGGTGGGAACAGTAATGCAATGTGGGTTGGGATATGATCTGGGAAGGGAATGCAGGCTGCTCAGATGGGATATTAATCTGGGTAATGAGTACATTGATACTTTATTGTTTTTTACACCATATACATGTTATAGATATGTTTTAAAAAATATTTTATTTATTTATTTGACAGAGAGAGACACAGTGAGAGAGAGAACACAAGCAGGGGGAGTGGGAAAGGGAGAAGCAGGCTTTCTGCAGAGCAGGGAGCCCGATGTGGGGCTCGATCCCAGGACCCTGGGATCATGACCTGAGCAGAAGGCAGACACTTAACGACTGAGCCACCCAGGCGCCCCTATAATTTTTTTTATATATTCTTTGGTAGTATGAAATGTTTTATGATTTTTAACGAGGGAGTAACATTTAAAAATAGAAGAACAGAAACCACCTAGATTAATGGAAAAGATCAAAGTTATCTCATCTCTGGCCCCACTCAACCGTGGTTCTGATAAGGGGGGGCTCTCATATTTCTCTTAAGAGAATATATTTCTGCTCCACTGGTAAGAGCACTGTGTGTCTATGTCTATACTGTTGGAGAAGAGAGAGCCACTCATCTCTGGAATGAAGGAACTGGGAGCAAGAATGGGGCTCAGTGAGACAGGGAAGTTTCAGGATGAAGAACACACCTGTTCATATGATTTGAAAGGAAGAGAGATTATTTCAAGTATAGAGGAAATTCAACTTACCTGTGCCATGGCTTTTAGAACTACCTGAGCTGCTCTGATTTCTTTAGATTCTTCTCTTGGACAAATGCAGAGTCCTAAAAAAGCAGAGTAGGGGGGAAAAAGGGGAAATCTCTCATAAACTGAGCTTGCCTGAGCACTCCTAAATAGAGGACCTTAAAATAACTGTACCCAATGTCCCTGCTTTGCTTCCCTTGCCCTCCCCCTTGTCCCACCACCCAACACTCATATCAATAACTAAAGAGTTAACAAAACCCAGCCCCTTCTGCAACTCTAGGGAAACTAAAAGATAGTCAGCAAAGATAGGTTCCAGCACTCACATAGAATCTAACCGCCTCGGCAGTAGGGATTCCAGCCTGAACAGTTCTCCAACTTGCTGATGCTAATTTATACTCTATATGGGGCCTAGATGGCTCCCACCTATTCCAAGCTGATCTTCCTCTGCAACTGCTGCAAGGACGATCAAAACTCAGACTTGCTCACTTTACCCGCTAAGGCTGAGGACAGTACCCACAGGCTAGGAGCACAGCAGCATAGCATACCTGTGGAGGTCAAACCCTGAGAAAAAGATATCCCTAAACAAAGTCTTCCAGCTACTCTGGGCTCAACAGGCAAAACCTCCCGGGTACTTCCCTGAATCTACTTCCTCCTTTTTTTTTTTTTTTTAAGATTTTATTATTTGACACAGAGAGAGAGACAGTGCACAAGCAGGGGGAGCAGCAGGGGCAGAAGGAGAAGCAGACTCCCTGCTGAGCAGGGAGCCCAATGTGGGACTGGATCCTAGGACCCTGGGATCATGACATGACCTGAGCTGAAGGCAGATGCTCAATTGACTGAGCCACCCAGGTGCCCCTACTTCCTTCTTCTAAGTCCAGAAAGGAATACCACCTACACCAGAGGCTTCATCAGAGACTCCAACCCTGGCTGGACTCACCAGACAGGAGCAAGAAAATCACAGTAAATAGGTATCTTACAAGCATATCTGCATACCCAGAGTATTTTTTTTTTTTAAGATTTTATTTATTTATTTGAGAGAGAGAATGAGACAGAGAGAGAGCACGAGATGGGGGAGGGTCAGAGGGAGAAGCAGACTCCCTGCCGAGCAGGGAGCCCGATGCGGGACTCGATCCTGGGACTCCAGGATCATGACCTGAGCTGAAGGCAGTCGCTTAACCAACTGAGCCACCTAGGCGCCCCTCCAGAGTATTGACTTGAATGGGAACTCAATTTCTAGAAGCCTCTTGGGCCAGCACTCCTAATTTTCAATCTAAGCCTCCCCTCCTCCTTTCCTGCAGAACATCACTTCCTCACTGGCTGGTGTTTGCTAAGGCTGGAGTTCTGTGGAAAATCGCCTCAGAGTAATGAGAACTCAGGGGTTTTAAGAAGGGTGGTAAGGCTGGTTCTACTCAGAGGTGCAAGAAGCTTCCTGTGGTTTTTGGGTGGGTGGGTCAGAAGGACGACGAACTTACTCAATGGCAGTGGTGTCAAGGAAAATGCCCTATAAGTTGAAGAATATGAACTGGGACTTAAAGATCAGATTGTTTTATTAGGCAGAAAAGGTACAGAAGAGTGTTCTGATCGATGAAGAGCAGTGACAAAAACAGTGGACCAAAAGTATATGGTGTGTTTGTGGAGGAGAGAATAATTTGGAACGACTGGTACAGTTTGGGGAAAGGTCTAGACCAGTGCTGTCCAACAAATCTTTCTGCGATAATGGAAATCTCTGTATCTGCACCATCAATAATGTAGCCATCAGCCACATGCACTAGGCAATTAAAAAGTGCCTAGTACGATTTTTTTCCTGAATTTTAAATTAAATTTAAATTTAATTAGTTCTAGAATCTAGAGGAAGATAATGCTGGAGGTGATATCAGGGGTTGGAAAATGAAGGCGAATGAATGAAATAAGATAATAATGAGGGCGAAGACCAGGTCTCATCATGACTGTGACTGGCACTTGCCACGGTGTCTGGAGAAGGGCCCAATGAATACTAACTTAAATATAAACGTTTGTTTTTCACCCAGTAAGGAATGGAAGGCCACTGAAGAATTTACAGAGGGAAGTTATAGGGCCAATATGGCCAGATTCTTTTATTGGAGAGAAGCAAAATTGGAGTCAGAGAGATCAATTGAAAGGTGCTTATACTTTTTTGCAAGCAAAAAACCTGACCCAGGATAATTAGAGTGGAAATAAGGAGGAAGTGTATAATTTCAAGATGAAGAGAAGTAAAATCCACAGGCTCTGGCACCTGATCAGATATGGAGGCAAAGAAAGAGAGAGGAGGGGTGCCTGGGTGGCTCAGATGGTTAAGCGTCTGCCTTCGGCTCAGGTCACGATCCCAGAGTCCTGGGATCGAGTCCCGCGTCGGGCTCCCTGCTCAGCGGGGAGCCTGATTCTCCCTCTGCCGCTGCCTCTCTCTATCTCTCTCTCTGACTCTCATGAATAAATAAAACATTAAAAAAAAAAAAAAGAAAGAGAGAGGAGTCAAAAATTCTTTCAGATTTACTGAGCTCCTACCTCAATTGGCATGGTTCTAGGTGTGAGGAAGATAATAAATCCAGTGGATCTCACATTCTAATGGAAAGAGACAATAACAAATACTGATATACTGACACTGATATTCCAATTTTTATGTCAGATGGCCAAAGTCCTGCGGAGAAAAATTAAGTAGGGAGCTTCGGGGGAATGAAGGTGGCCGAAGAAGGCTTTTCATTGAGAAGGTGATATGTAAGCACAGACTGAATAGAGTGAAAAATGCAGATATCTAAGAGGAGTGCATTCCTAGTATGGGGAACAGCAATTGCAAAGGCCTCCAGGCAGAAGCAGGCTTTCTTTGATTAATAAAGAAGACTAGGGTGGCTGGAATGGAGTGTGCAAAAGAAAGAGGGTCAGAAGCTCATTTGGGTGAGCCGACGTAGCTGGAAGATGGATCACATGGGGCTTGTGCGCCACTGTAAGAACTTTGGTTTTTTACTCTTGAGTAAGACAGGAAGTCACTAAAATGTTTTAAGACAAGGAATGGCATAATCTGATTTACACTGAAAAGGATCACTCACAGAAAGTGAACTAAGAAGACAAGGGAGGAAGCAGGGAGACAAGTGGAAGGTTACTGCAATAATCCAGGCAAGGAGTGAGGGGGGCTTGTACTAGGGTGGTGGTGATAACTGACCAGATTAAATATTCTCTGAAGGGAGAGCTGGCAGGATTTGCTGATTTTAGGTATAAAAGCAAATTAAAAAAAAAAAAAGAAGCCATGATGACACTAAGCTGTTTGGCTTGAGTAACTGGAAGTACGAAGTTGTCAATAAACCAATTATGAGTTCTGTTTTAGGCTTTAGTACTTGAGATTACTACTACACATCACACACACAGTGGGCTGTAGTTTTGCAAACGTCCAACAAGGCAATGTTAGCAGAAATTAAACCAGGTATGTTTTCCGATGAAGCAATTCCATAGCTGAGACTATCCAAAAGACGTGTGGGGGCTACACGATGGAGACACTGCTGACCATGGAAACAACTTGGAGAGAACTTAAAAGGAGGATTGGTTAAATAAATAAATTACAGTATATGAACACGATGGAAACACTGTTGCCATAAAATGAACAACACATATATTTGTTGATGTTAAGATGTCAAACAACGGAAAAAAAATAAAAATTAAAAAAAAAGAAGAAGATAGCAGGAGAGGAAGAATGAAGGGGGGAATCGGAGGGGGAGACGAACCATGAAAGATGATGGACTCTGAGAAAGAAACTGAGGGTTCTAGGGGGCAGAGGAGGATGGGTTAGCCTGGTGATGGGTATTAAAGAGGGCACGTTCTGCATGGAGCACCGGGTGTTATACGCAAACAATGAATCATGGAACACTACATCAAAAACTAATGATGTAATGTATGGTGATTAAGATAATAAAAAAAAGATGTCAAACAACAGTGGGCGGATAAGGTAACTAATGAAACAGTATGTATAGTGTAATCCTATTTTTTTTTTAAAGATTTTATTTATTTATTTGACAGTGAGATAGAGAGCACAAGTAGGCAGAGGGAGAGAGAGAAGCAGGCTCTCCGCTGAGCAGGGAGCCGGACGTGGGGCTCGATCCCAGGACCCCAGGATCATGATCTGAGCCGAAGGCAGCCGCTTAACTGACCGAGCCACCCAGGCGCCCCAGTGTAATCCTATTTTTATAGGAAAAATATACATATGTTCTATATATGCATGTATGTGTATACATAAGATAGACTGAAAGGATTTTCAATTACATTTTTCAACATTTGTCTCTAGGTGTATATCTATGAAAAGAATCTTTTTTTCTCTATATTTTGAAGTTTTCCCTTAAGCATATGTTTTATAATCATAAGTAATAGAATGTATACCTTCCTCTTCATTGGGGGGGTTAATTATAAAAGGAAATATGAATGGAGTGATTCATGAATGACAGTGAGGTGCTTTGGGGAACTTACATGCTGAAGGAGCTTTATTTCCTCCATTTGTTCTAGAGCCTTTGGGGGGCTTGTTCTCAAACAGTAACTTAAAGCTCCTGACTTTGCACAGAGAAAGTGAGCTTTCACATGAAAATCTTCCATTTTCCTTAGTCTCCTCACTCACCTGTGCACAGACCTCTTGTCAGCCCTCAATCCAGGATATCCTCCTTGCTCCAAAAAGAAATCACACTTAATTTACAGAAGCAACTTCCTACACACAGAAAAAGAAATGGGTCTTAGCCAGTCTGGTAGACATTAACTGAATTACTACTGTTTCACCATTATCGTGTTTTCCTCTCCTTTGGGGCATATAGATGACATTTTCCTGACCTTTGCAGTCAGGCAGGGCCATAAACTGGTTTTAGCCAATGGAACCTGAGCTAAGGTGATGTGTGTCCCTTCAGTCTGAGGCACTGGCAAGACTGCACAATTCTCCAGTGTATTCCCTGATGTGGTGGCCAAGGGTATATGTGTTAGATGGTACGGCTATAGATTGGTGGAGTCTGCTTTGGTCTGGGACCCTGCCTACACTCATGCACATTAGACGTGTAGCATGATCAAGTTAATAAAAAGTGATTCTGTTAGCCACTGAGATTTGGGGGTTGTTTGCTACTACAGCGTAACAGCCTGTCCTAACTAATATACTAATTCAGCTATATTCTGACTATATAAAAATTCAGACTCTGGCCTGTGGTTGATGCGAGAAAGAACAATTTTTTAAAAAGTCAGAGGAAGCTTCAGAAATAATAGAACAGAACTGGTTCATTTCCAACTCTATACACCTCAAAGGGATTTTTCACATTGTGTGAAATCTTTCACATTGTGCTGAATTTTAAGGATGTAAACATACATTTTTCCGGTATAAACATCAACCAAAATCATTACAAGGAGAGATATATACATTCTTAGGCAATATTCAGTATTCTAAGTAAGACAAGAGCAGATAGGTTAAAAAAATGAAAGATTTCTACAGAACAGTAATTCTAAGTACTCAGAAATTTAGTAATGTAATACTTAATAACATAAAAATGTTTAAGATATGATTAAATGAAAAAAAAAACAGGTTACAAAACAGCTGGGCATCACGTGATCCTATTTGTAAAATATAAAGATATATCAATACAGACAATATAGACAGACAAATTAGATGAAAAATGTCTAGGAAGTTTTATCCTTAAAGATTACTTTGGTTATCTCTGGGTTGTGATCTTCAATGTTCTTAGTTTTACTTAAGTGTATGTTTTTCAGTAACTATGTATTAATTTTTAAATTTTTTTCATTTTTTTAAAAGTTTTATTTATTTAAGTTATCTATACACCCAAGATGGGGCTCGAACTCACAGCCCTGAGATCAAGAGTCGCGTGCTCTCCCAACTGAGCCAGCCGGGCGCCCCAATTTTTAAATGATTTTTAGGTTCTGTTAAATGTAAGCTATTCCCAAATAGCAGATGAAAAAGAAAATACTTACTTTTTTTAAAAACAATCCCCTTGAACATGAAATAATAGCTTAGGATATTCTAAAAACAGTTATATTTTCACAGAATGGCTTTTGTTTTTGCTTTGTCAGCTCCTAATAGTTGCAAACTTCTTGATTTGGTAACTATATTCATGTGTGCTGTAGTCGTGCCTGGAAAAAAATGAAAAGTCATTAGGGTCATGTCCTATGTATAAGTGGTGCTTCCTTTTAGCTCTTCTTGTCAGATGGATCTGTTATGTTTCTGTACTTGCCCCACTATTCTCCAAACAGCTACAAACTCATTTCGCCCAATTGGACACACTTTGGATTTCTGATGATTAGAATGAAAACTGCAAGTCCTGTATAGGACTCAAGAAAACTAATTTCCCTCCACAGAGCTCTTATGAGATCAGTTTGACTTAGACATGACATGACAATGACTGCTCTGGTCATACAAGTTATCTCCTTCTTATGAATTCTCATAGCATACTATCAGGGTAAATAGTGCCCTTTATCATCCTTTACTTTGAACATTTGTATACTAGTATTATCTCACCTATTACATCATTTGCACTTTAAAAGTAAATACAGGAGGAAAAAAAAAAGTAAATACAGGTGTGCCTGGGTGGCTTAAGTGAGCCTGCTTAAGATTCTCTCCCTCTCTCTCTCAAAAAAAAAAGGGTAAATAGAGACTATAACTTTCATTAAAAAATTTTTTTTTCCCTTACATAATCTCATCCTCTAACGTGGGGCTCGAACTCACAACCCTGAGGTCGAGAATCACATGCTTCACTGACTGGGCCATGTAGGTACCCCAAGACTACAAATTTTATCTTATTTATTTTTAACTTATTTTTTAAAAAAGATTTTATTTATTTATTTGACAGAGACAGACACAGCAAGAGAGGGAACACAAGCAGGAGGAGTGGGGGAGGGAGAAGCAGGCTTCCCGCCGAGCAGGGAGCCTGACGCAGGGCTTGATCCCAGGACCCTGGGACCATGACCTGAGCCGAAGGCAGATGCTCAACGACTGAGCCACCCAGGCGCCCCTATTTTTAACTTTTATTTATTTATTTATTTTAAGATTTTATTTATTTATTTGACAGATAGAGAGACACAGTGAGAGAGGGAACGGAACACAAGCAGGGGGAGTGGGAGAGGAAGAAGTAGGCTTCCCGCCGAGCAGAGAGCCCAATGCGGGGCTCGATCCCAGGACCCTGGGATCATGACCTGAGCCGAAGGCAGACACTTAACAACTGAGCCACCCAGGCGCCCCTATTTTTAACTTTTAAAAAAGATTTTATTTATTCATTTGAGAGACAGAGAGAGCATGAGTGGGGAGAGGGGCAGAAGGAGAGGGAGAGGGACAAGCAGACTCTCAGCTGGGCACAGAGCCCGATGCAGGGCTTGATCCTAGGACCCCAAGATCATGACCTGAGCCAAAGGCAAATGCTCAACCGACTGAGCCACCCACGTGCCCCTCAAGACTATAACTTTTAAATAGCATTTTGTCTCCTTGAGTTCTAGATTAGGATTTTGCATCTCTGCAAATTCTCTCTTTTTTATTTTTTTAAAGATTTTTTATTTATTTATTTGAGAGAGAGAATGAGAGAGAGCATGAGAGGGGGGAGGGTCAGAGAGAGAGGCAGACTCCCTGCCGAGCAGGGAGCCCGACATGGGACTCGATCCCGGGACTCCAGGATCATGACCTGAGCCGAAGGCAGCCGCCCAACCAACTGAGCCACCCAGGCGCCCTCTCTCTTTTTTTAAAGATTTTATTTATTTATTTGACAGAGAGAGATAGCAAGAGCAGGAACACAAGCAGGGGGAGTGGGAGATGGAGAAGCAGGCTTCCCGTGGAGCAGGGAGCCCGATGCAGGGCTCGATCCCAGGATCCTGGGATCATGACCCGAGCCGAAGGCAGACGCTTAACCGACTGAGACACCCAGGCGCCCCGCATCTTTGCAAATTCTTAGTAAATGTCTAATTTCCAAAGGAATTCAATATAAAAATATATGAAGTGGTATGCACAAAAATAGCTCATAACTGAATTATAGAAATATAAATACTCTTAAATAGACAATAAAATGAATAAATTAAGGTACATCTTGATAATGAAATACTATATAGAGATTTTAAAATACAACAGTACTGGGGAGGCTGGGTGGCTCAGTCAGTTAAGCATCTGACTTCAGCTCAGGTCGTGATCTCAGCGTCCAGGATTGAGCCCTGTGACTGGCTCAGTGCTCAGCAGGGAGTTTGCTGTCTCTCTCTCCCTCTTCCTTTGTCCCTCCCCACCACTCGTGCTCTCTCCCCCTCTCCTCTCTCAAATGAATAAATAAAATCTTTAAAAAAATACATCAGTACTATGGTCAATGCATTATTAAATGAGGCAGGAAGGTTACAGAATTTATATATATGTGATACCCCTCTATAAAATCACACAGAAAAAATATTTGAAATATATCCATCAAAATATTAAGAATATTTCTGGATGAAGAATTTTTAGCAAGTTTCTATTTTTACAGTAAGTTTATGTTTTTCATAATAAAAATCATAACAATATTGTTTCCATTTAAAAATAAATAACCATAATGGTAGTTAGTATTTATTTTCCTAGCAGTAGGAAAATTATGAGCAACTGAGAAAATATCTATGACACAAATAGGGACAAAAAAGGAAATTAGTGTGACTGAAAACCAATAATAACTAGAAGTACTCTAACAGTCTTTTAAATGTTGACGCATATTCCCTGGTGCATTGATATAGCCTCATTATCAAAAACATTCTGTGAATGACCAATTTTTAGGACAGTTCAAATTAATAAGGCAGTGTATGCAAAGCAGAAAGCATTGTGTCAGATATACAGTGAATTTCTTCTCTGTTCAATCACTGATCAGATTTTTAGGTGGGGTCTTTGCAAAATTTGAGCCCTTTTTAATTTATCATTTTGTTTATGACATCCTTTTCATTGTTCTGATTAACACTTTGTAAGCATATTTTTTATTAGCTGGATAATATTCCATCATATGAATGTAATAGATGATGGAACATTCCTCTTCGGTTTCTCTATTGTTGGCTGCAAATTTTGGGCATCTCAAAGGATATTACCAGGTATCACTGTCTTAGATTTTAGACCTGTAGTTCTAAATTTTCAGGGGTCTTGAATCTCTTTGAAAATCTTATGGAATGTTAAACCTTCTTCCAAGAAAAAAATTAAATGAATAAACATCTGCAAAAATTGTGAATAAAATTTCATGGAGTCTGCAGAGCCCTGATGTCTAAGAGTGGGGACTAAGACCTTATTTAAAACCCTGCTATAATGACTAACTCACAAACATCAAGTACTACTAACTATATTTTTTTATTTCTCATAATTTATCAAAAGCACAATAAGAATTTGGCTTGAAGCAAATTTAAGACTACCCAAAACCCAAAATGCCCCAAAATCAAATTAGATCTAGTCACTGCAACAAACTTTTTTTTTTTTTTTGAGAGAGAGAGTGAGGAGTGTGGGGGTGGGGCAAAGGGAGAAGGAGAGAGAGACTCTTAAGCAGGCTGCACTCCCAGTGCAGAGGCCAGTGTGGGGTTTCGATCTCACAACCCTGAGATCATGACCTGAGCCAAAATTGGGTTGGATGCTTAACCGACTGAGCCACCCAATCACCCCCACCGCAACAAACTTCTATCCTATCCAGACTTCTGGGATGTGGCTGTACCAGACATTAAAATATATTGCAAGGCCTCTATAATTAAAACAGTAGTAGTGCATAAATAGATGAATAGACCAGTGGAGCAGAACAGAAGACCTAGAAATAGTACCAAGTATATTTGGAAATTTAGTATATGATGGAGATTGATGGCATCACAAGTTTTTAAAAAATGGTGTTCGGAAAACTGGGTAGCCATTTGAAAAATATGAAATTAAATCCATTCCTCATACCATATATAAAATTAAGCTCCAAATGTATCAGAGATCTAAATGGAAAAAGATCTAAATGGAAAAAGATGAAACCATACAGGTATTAGAAAAGAACACAGGTAAATTCCTCTTTAATCCTGGGGTTGAGAAAGTCGAAGTCCAGATGTAATGAAAGAAAATATTGGTAAATTTGACTACATAACATTAAAAAAAAAAATTGAATGACAAAAAAAACAAAAAACAAAACTCCACCATAAACAAAGTTAAAAGACAACTGACAAACTAAAAGAAAATACATGCACCATACATCACCGTGAAGGACTAATATCCCTCATATGTAATGAATTCTTAAACATTGAGACAAAATACTGAAAGAAAAATAGGAAAAAGATATGAACAGATAATTCACAAAAAAGATGTAAAAATGGCCCTTAAGCATATGAAAAGATGTTCATCAACATACTGGAAGTCCTAGCCAGAGCAGCTTTAGGCAAGAAAAAAGAAGTAAATGGCATCCAAATTGGAAAGGAAGAAGTAAAGTTATTTCTGTTCTTAGATGACATGATTGTACATGTAGAAAACCCTAGAGATTCCCCCCCCCCACACACACATCTGTTAGAACTGATACATTCAGCAATGTTGCAGGATACAAAATCAACTCACAAAAATCAGTTGCATTTCTACACAGTAATAATGAACAATCTGAAAAAAAGGAAACTAAGAAAATAATTCCACTTATGATAGTATCAAAAAAGAACAAAATACTTCGGACTAAACTTAACCAAGAAAGGAAATGACTTACACATTGAAAACTACAAAACACTGCTGAAAGAAACAGAAGAAGACATAAATAAATGATAAGATATCCTGTGCCCAAGGATTGGAAGACAAATTCCTATGTTGAAGCCCGAACACCTACTGTCACTGTATTTGAAGACAGGAGCATTGTGGAAGTAATTAAGATCAAATGAGTTTCTAAGGGTGGAAGTAATTGTTATTAAATGAGTTTGTAAGGTGGGGGGTCCTATTAGTCCTATTAGTATCCCTATAAAAAGAGACACTAGAGAGAGCTTGCTTTCTCTCTCTCTCTTTTCCTGTGAAGATACAGCAAGAATGTGGGCATCTGCAAGCCAGGAAGAGAGCCCTAACTAGAAACCAACTATGCTGGCACCCTGGTCTCAGACTTCCAGCCTCCATAACTCTGAGCAGCCTCAGCTGACCAAGACAGATATCAACACTACCTAAAGGG